TGTGTAACAACTGCCATGAAGCCTTCCTACCTCAGGCACTCCACTGGAAACAATTTAAAACAACTCTCTTTTGTTTTTCCTGGTCTGCCACCCTTCCCACCCTCCGCCTCTTCCCCAAGTAGAAGGCATAATGCATCATCTTAGGAGGGAGCCCACTGCAGCCTAATTTAACAGCCAGGGAGAAACACCAGTGGACACTGGCCTGCTAATGAATGAATGAGCCTGACATGTAAAATCAGAAAAGATTACTGACTGAGAAGCAGCCCTCCCAAAAGGTCCTGCCAAACCAGCTGTTTAGATAAGCCCTGTTGCTTCCTCTGAATAATAATTCCTTCACATCAGACTGAGTAAACAAACTCCTTACACTCCTGAGGAGAAGTTTGCATCGTCTTCTTTTATTCATTGAGAAAAATAAGAAAAAAAAGCAGCAGCGAGACAGAAAGACAAAAACATATCATGATCAAATCTTGTGTGTCCTCCCCTGCTGCGTGTTGACAGCTGGACACTGTGGGGTCTGCTGGGTGTATACAGCCTACGAACGATAAATAAACAAAGGGGTTGGGGGCCAGCCTTGAAAAGCCATACACCTGTGACCAGTGGAAAAGCACCAGGCGCAGCAGTGTTCATTAAAGAAGCCGGTCCTGACAGTGAGGCCTTTAAGAGGCCATCAGGAGCGACAACTCAGCAGCTACCTTGGGACCAGAGAGGGAAAGGAATCAAGGTGAGCAATGCAATTTCAGCTTGAATAATGGACCACTTTCCTCTGGTTTGACATTCATGTATTTCTCAGGCAGTTTTGCCATACAGACCAATAGCACCTGCGAGCCATTCAAGGTTCCCCAGGAAAAACTGGTTTACAATGTCTACAGCCTCACAATTACTCTGGGTCTGCTTCTGGCTGCAAATAATCTTCCTGAAAGTGGTTCATGAATTAAAAATAGTACCAAATATATCACTTTTAATGACATAAAAATGTGGATTTTGTATACTATGTGCCACAGACTTTATGCACAGCATACATCACTGTCTAGATTTAATCCTTTTCTTTTTTTTTTGTCAGAGGAACTGTTTATAAAAATAATTTAATTAAGGCAAATTATTCTCACTTTTCTGTTGGATTCACTGCCAGATTTCATTTTCACAGAGTTGCTGATGTAAACTGGTAATAACAGAGGATTAATTTACAAGGAGGCAAAATCCCCCAGTGAGACTTGTGGCCCAGAACAATAATGAGCACATAGTAAACAGAAGTTTGCCGTAAGCCAAAAGAGAATGCAGAGGCACCTAATCTACACACCGAAACACACGATGCACGCTGACACGCAAACAATCGCATGTAGACAAGCGCAACCACGCCCTGTCGCTCTCTCGCTCTATCGCAAACACAAGCTCACACAGGCAGAGAAAATGATAGCAGGGTATCTTCCCCAGGCCTCTGTAATAACATATGTTTGCAGGTAATTAAAAGAAGCTCTCCAGTGGTTATCATGTCATACTGAAAAACAATGCACAGAGCAAATTACCTTTATGCGGTTATTTATACCACATAAAGGTCACAATCCTTTGGTGAACTGTGAAAACACAAGCGTTCATGGCTGAAGTTGTGCTGTGGTTTTGACTTCTAATTGCGATGCTAAGGTCAGCGATCTATGTAATATGCAGTGTGTAATAAGTATGCGTGTTTTAGTAGCTTTTTGGATTTGCTTTTTTACATAGTTTGCACTACCGACTGAGCACATACAGTGAGGGAGGTACATTGCTAAAACACTGGGCAATGAGGGAGTTACGTTACCCAGTGTTATAGCAATAAGATCTGAGCACGCATTCAGCTTCCTTTGGTGGTTAAATGCAAAGCTGTTGCTGTGACCAACAAAGAGTAGCATATCCACTGTAGGTTATTAAAAAGTAAAAACATGTTGGTGTTTTTTCATTCGAGTATAATTTTAACTGTCGGAAAGACGCTATTCGAGCATCTACTTTGCACCTCTCATATTCAGGATCTGTTAGAACAGCTGGAGGAAACAGTAAGAGCAGGTTTCAAACTGTGAAGAGACCACATCAGGAATGTTCTCAACCAACTCGTTTTCTTCTTGTGAATCTTTCGCTTTACACTTTTAAAGTGTTATCTTTTTTTAATGAGTTCCTCATAAATGTGTTTTGTACTCACTTTAAAACGGAGTAATTATTAAACTTCTGTTTTCTGGTGACACTGTGCAATCAGATTTTTTATTTAATCCCCCCCCATACTGGGTAATTATGTTAATTGAATATTTGACACAACAGCTGATGATAACTTAACACACTATGAAGCTATTAGGACAAATTTGTGGTCAAACAGTTGCATATGCTTGTCTTTTTGTTGACGTGGAAGTCGTTTACTCTTGCTGTTTTGCACCTGAAATACATATCTGGCTCTAGTTTCCTAAAAAATAATTTGATCTTTCTTTATTTATCGTTTGATATTTGGCCCATAGTGAAAAATAAGACATGTCACTTACTAATATTTACGGGAAAAAATGATCTAACATTTCGTATATTGGTATCTTTTTTGGCAGATAAAGAACTCTGATTGGGAAGACGTTCCTAATGAAAACACTGATTAGTGGAAAATGAAGGAATCTTATATCTCTGTGGAGGACTTTGGGATTTGATTCACCTACTCTTGACAGTTGAGGCCGCCAAATCAAATACAGATGTTTTTGCTATGCTCTAAAGCGTTATTTATTCGCTTTGTGTGTCTTGTCAAAGTTTGGTGCTATGGGCTGCTGTCTCCAGCAGACATCCTGATAACCCGTAGCAGTTGTGAGCAGTTGCGAACCAGAACGAATCAAAAGAAGGATGCAGGTAGCTTACATTACAGCACAGCTGAGAGGGACACCATCACTGTTTACAACCTGTCTTCCTGTCTTGAATGTCAGCCTCTCATTGTGAGTGGATGCATTCTTCTGCCTAGAGCAGGTGTAGTACAGACGATACAGAAGTAAATAGACCCTACGTGATAATGCTCACCTCAGGGTTGAGTTTAAACAAGATTCAAATGCATGTTCCAGTTACTTGAGCACCGAAAGGCAAGTGCCATTCAGCATTCCTGAGGTGTGTGATATCACTACATTTAATATGTCCAAAAATGTGGAACTCACAACAAAATAATCAAGGTGTATAAAAACAAAATTTGGCCTGAGGTAAAACACGAATATTTGATATGAGGCGAATTCAATCTTGATTTGAACTCATACGCATGCAGCTGTGGAACCAGAGTTACATGTACAAGCATGTGCAGCATTCGTCTATATCCAAACCTATGTATTTCAAATGGGCACTCTCATATAAACCTTATGCTTAAGCTGAATTTGAGCTTTCCCCAGAATGCTGATCTTATTGTGCCCCATATAAAACAACCTCGCCACCCTCCCACACACAACTATTTCCTAAAATAGATTAGGATCCCTCCCCTCGGCTTCTAATGCTGTGCTCTGCTGCCCAGGGTCTATACACATAGCTGCCAGACGCTGCTCAGGATTAGCTAGTGAGTCAAAAAGCATCCTGCTGCATATGATCTCACACCCTTTCACGAACCGAGGCATTGGCTGCTACGAGGATGCAGGAGAATTAATCAATCCATCCATCCATCAATCCACTGCTTCAATCAATTTCTTTATTTCCAGTGCAGCGTTTGTACTTCTGTTTTTATGAACGCATAACTGAGTTGTACTGCGACTGAGGGAGCTTCCTTCCTATCTGACAGACAGGTGACTCTCTTTTGAAGTAACTGTGTCTCACTCCCTGATGTGGAGGCCAGACAATGAGCCTCCCCCCAGACCCTATTAAAGCAAAAACCCAGGGTCTGCAGGTTTGATATTCATCGCCTGGGCAACCTCTACCATCAACACATTTTGTGCCACGTGAGAATGATCACAGCTTATTAAAGTGGAAATAATGACTGCTCTACCTCCGGCATGAAATATTTAACAAGGACAAAGGAGATGGCTCAAAGGTGATTCATATCTATGTTGAAAGGAGAGGACGTGGACAACACCGTCTTTACAGGAAGTTGCTTAATCTGAGCTTAGAAGGGAAAGTCTGCAATTGAAATTTGTACCTCAATGGAAGCAGACATAGAAGAACAGCGGCAGAGGATGTTGTGAATTAATGTTTATTAGCTATCAACAAAGATGTTGGTGTAACAGCAGCAGACTATACATCCCTCTCTTCATTTCATGCCATTTAGAGTTCACACAAAGCAGCCTTATGATTTCAGGTTTGATATATGTACTAATCTTTAACCATCATTTCATTTAAATCATTCTCTCTCGTTACCAGCTGAGCTCAGAATGTATAGAGCATCCAATTTCTAGATGTGAAATTATTGATGTACTGTACTTTTCCTTCTAGCCCGAGTAAATTAGCTTTTTTGGCCCCTTGGGAAAATCAGGGGAAAAGAGGAGAGTAAAAATATTCTCCATCAAGTGTGATTGAATTGGATTTTACAAGATGAATTGCCAGGACAAGAGTTTATCCCAATTACATTGCCAAGAGGCTTCAGTCCTGCTGCAGCCACTCTGGTCAACAGCAATTAGGGTCAGCTTTGAGTTATCACGGTTTGTCATTGTGAGACCATATTTACAGTGCGAGCAGACAGCAGATAAATGCAACAGGGCAACATTTACAATAGTAAAAAGTGGTTTGTGGTTTGGGCCAAGAATTCATGAAATTACAGATCTGACAGCCAAAACACGAGCAGAGCAAAACACAGCTGTCTTTTCCATAGCCCACACATCTTTTAATCTACAGGAATACAATACAGACTGCAGAGACTGCCTCGAGCTCTTTTGTGTGGCCATCCATTTTCCTTTCTCACGTAGTTTTTTTTTTTCTTTGATGTAACCTGATGTGGAAACTCAGGGCGGCTTTCATCTCTCTCATGAAGAATCCACTTACCACAGATGGTGGCAATAAGGCTAATGACTGGCATATATCACGGAGATGATATTTAGTCTTACCTTCCCCAGGCTGGGGCCCCACAGATATCTCAGGCTGAAAACACAGAGAGCCAAAACCAGGAAGACCAGAGTGAGAATCAGAGCAATTCGCTGGTAGGTTTGGTACTTCGCCTTCTTCCCTTTTCCAGCCTCAACCTGCAAAAGACCAACTTAAGATTATTAATGTGATGCATTTATAAATGCCCCAAAAATTAGCAATATGAGTCACCTGCTGATGGTAACTGAACAATAACAAATCAATAACAAATCAATTTGCTATAAAAACAAAGGCCTAGGTACTGGTCTAAGCTCAAAGTAAATGGCATGGAGCACACAGACCTGTCTGCAAACACACACCACTATTCCTCAGCAAAATGTAGTGAAACCGTGGGTGGGCCTTCAGCCTAAAAGTTGTGTCTACTGAAACGTGTTGGCTGCAGCGGTGAAGCCCATCATCTTGGTTGAAGACGAGCATTCTCCACGTTTGGTTTGAGTCACACGCTTTCAAGTTTCACTGCAGACTTGAGAGGAAATGGTGAGTGTTTGCAGACATTTCAGTGTCTTCCATGCAAACCTGTTTGGGATGGAGTTCACAGGGTGACAGCTAGCAACCTTGAGCAACACATATTTTTCCCTAGCAACCAGATGTTGCCAAGGGTTTTGACCAGTCTCTTTGCCTGTGTAACTGAGGCTGCAAAGGTGCTGGTATGACTCAGGAAAGTCTACTTTTCAGTAGATGCTAAGCTAATGCTAATGATCTAACTGTGCAGTTGTTTTTTTCTGTTCCTATTTCAATATTTTAACAATTTTATTATTTTGTCTTTGCTCTAAAAACCAGAACAGAGATCGGGATTGTGAGGTATGGTGAGATGCACAGAAACTATGGTAAAAATTGAGCAGTATGAGTTTATATATATATTGCATATTTTTGTATTGCCTGTATTATGCAACAAACAACAACCAAATAAATGTGAGTGTTGAATACTTATTTATACTTATTTTGTTATCAAATGCCATAAATGCTCTTGCAAACAACACGGAGAAAGTTTTGCAAGTAAGAGAGTAACATGGAGGTTTTACATAACGTGGGCAGCAGCTGTAATAAGATCAAACATCAACTTCAGCAACTGTTGTTGACAGATTGTTTTTTCTGGGTCTTTCTTTAGCTACATAAAAAAAAAGATATATATATATATATTTTTAAAGCAAACCAGCCGATGAAATGCACCTTGGCGTAACAGAAATCAAAGCGACACAGACTGAGCGGTTTAACTGGAGGACAAATACATAGCAAGCTCTCCCAGGGAACAACACTGCACCCGCTATGCCACCAGACATCGCTGGCCAGAGATCAAAGATGGATGAAGCCATGCCACCCGATGTAGCTGTACAGAGGTCACAGGCAGATGAATCTTTGCAGAAGTCACAGTTGGGTGTTATACCAAAGGGCAACACCAGTGAACAGCAGGAATACAGTTTATGTAGCCACAGGTGGGCTGGAATTAATCACTTGTTAGAGAGAAGGATACTGAAGGAAAAGTTCAACCAGAAGTAGATAAAGAGTATTTCTTGACAGCTGACAAGATCAAGTTTGCACTTCTCTGCATACCACAGATGGCTCTATAGATGCTCCTCTGTGAACCTTATGCTGGATTATGCTTGAAACAAAGAGTGTGTCCAGCACTTTCAGAGATGCTACAGCTGTGAAACTCTGGTGCAGTTGCTACACAGACATCAAATCATTTTGTGGATGCTTTTGGCAATCATGTCGAAGTTATTGTGGACTGTCTTGAAATTTACATTTAGAAAGCATCAGATCTGAAAGCTAGAGCAGAGATTCTTTTCCACTACAAGCACACATATATCCTAATGTTTCTTATTGGCATTACACTACAAGGAGACATCACATCCTAACGCTGTGGAAGTCATATCACTGGCAAGCATGTGACTAAGAACAGTGGCCTTCTTCATAAACTATTACCTGGAGATTTTATTGGCAGATTATGGATTTGACATGAGCGAGAGCGTAGACGTAACAAAAGAGGGTGACTCGATGCATATGCAGGAAATACAAGCGTGGCCATACGAGTCAGTGTGGTGTTCTTTGATTTTCCTTGAAGGGATTATCTTTCTGCTGTGCAACAGCTAATATATATTCCAGTGTTGTTATGAAATTAAAAACCATAACATAAAATATGAATGAATGTGACCTGCATATGCTGCATTAACAACATTATGCAACATTTGTGTTTCTATATTAAAGGAATGGGAAAATATATTCATGGAGCTATTATTGTCTTATGAAATATAGAAAATGCAAATATGTGACTGGTTTGTGGCAACAATGTAGCACAAGTTTGGGATCCCATTAGCAGGTTTGTTGACTTACTTCACTGAGAGCAAAGACAAATTTTTCAGCGCTGTCATGGCCACGTTTTGTGTTTCTGTCTGCCAATCATTTGTGTGAAAAAAGGTAATAAATGGTTAAATCATCATTGAATTATAACTGGCTGTTATTTGACAAATTCTAAGAAATTCTATCTCTTAGAAACTGTCAGACACTTTACTACAATTTCCATGACAAAAGATAAAAGAAAAGAAAAAGACAAAAACAAAAAACCAGGTGGTCCAATATGGAGTCACCTGTTTTTCTCCTTGAGAGTTTTAAGGGAAGTGCGGTGATTTTTCAGCTGAGAGGAGTTTGTTGGTGAGTTTCGCTTTAGTTAAAAGAATAAAGATATTGTTAAAATTTCTTCTACATGTGGATGAATGCAACCAAAAGCTATAAAAGCATCACTCGTTTGAAGAACTGAGGCTACATATAGTACCTTCATATAAAGAATCTTTTTATAGTTGTTGATATAGTACATATACAACAGGTTTAATTAAAGTTGCAAAGCAACCTACATGGAAAGGTTAATAATGCCACTTCAATTCAATTAAAAGAAGTGGCAAATAATTTAAAAAAGAAGTATAAAAGACACAAACTATGCAAAAGTTCATCAGTCTGAATATAGCTTAGAACCATTGTGGAGGAGGCATAACTGGGTCCTATGAACAGGGTCCAATTGCACACTTTTCAAGGCAGTTGTAACTTGGTTAAAGGCTTAGACTGTGGTGTTGTGGAGACTGTAGAAAAACCTTTTCCTTCTGACAGAGCTGCTGTCCAAAAGTCCACGTCTGGTCAGACACAAACCACAACACATTCAGTGGGCATCCAAAACAGTTTGACCAAGTTTGTGTTTGGGCACAGCTGTAGTACTTCTGCAGTTTAAGTCGCTGTTATCTGCACGGGCCTGCAGAATGCAGTTGTGACAGCACAAAATAAAACAGCCTTTCTCAAACAATGCCTGAAATACCATGAATTTCTTTGAATGAAGCTTTTAGTCTAACATAGGTTTGTCTTTCTATGGAATGGGGCGATTGTGGCTCAAAGAGTTGGCAGCTCATCTTGTAACTGGAAGGTTGCCGGTTCGAGCCCCGGCTCGGATAGTCTCGATCGTTGTGTCCTTGGGTGAGACATTTCACCTACCGCCTACTGGTCACCACCAGTGTATGAATGTGAGAGTGAATGAATAGTGGAATTGTAGCGCTTTGAGGGCCCCCGAAAAGCGCTATATTGCATTTGCAATCCATTAATATTATTATTTATTATTAATGGTAATGTGACGGCAATTGCTGTTTTAACAGGGGCCCACAGCCTCCTCACAGTTAACAATAGCAGTTCAGGAAACAGTGGTGGATAAATGTCATGGGTATTTGAAGATGCTATTATTCCAGCTCTTGATTTCCACCAAACAGGGGATGAATAGCTATCTCTGAGCTTTCACCACACCTGCCTCTGTCTCTGTTACTGTGTAAGAGGCTCTCACAGTCACAAAGGTGCAGTGGGGACATTGGCTTAAATGAAAAACAGCCTGGTTGTGAGTGAGCAAAATCTGAAGTACGGTGACAGGTCAGAAAGTGTGGGCTTGTGCCCACACGGACGTGTGCGGCCAGCACATATCCCTGACATTCAATTCTCTACACAGATGCACTTACCATGTGCTTTTTTTTTTTTTTTAGCTGTACCTGAGGACGAGTCTGTCTTGTAGTCCACCTCAGTGTAGACCTTGTCCACATCAGTGGGCATCATCCAGTAGGCTGGAAGGTCAGTGACTGTTTTGGTCTCCTGGATCCAGCTTTTAAACAAAAGAGCCCCGACATGTGGCCGGCCAAGCATGTACAGCACTACACTGGGCCACTCAAACCGGTTTGAGCAGAGGTTCACTGAAGCATTGATAATACAAAGCGTAAGCCACAAATAATATAAATAACACAAAAAAAGAATAATAATGAAAAAGGCTGAAAATAACCTCTTTTACTTGATATTAATACAGACACTAATCAGATCAAAATTTATTTATATAGCACATATTAAAACAACAGTGTTGACCATAGTGCTTCACAGTCAGTAAAAGCATGAGACA